CTGGTCAGCCTGGTACTGAATGTTTTTTTCAGGGTCGTTCTGACGGGCGCTGGAGGGCTTTGTCTGGGTTGGCCGAGCAGGCACCCACTGGATGCTGAAGGGTTGTGCCTCGGGGTTAGTCCAGGTGCTACATTGCTGTGCTGGAGGGCTATTTCTGGGTCGGGCTTGGTCAGGCTCTGGTGGGCAGGCCAGGCGCTGGAGTTGATAGAATTGGGAATTATATTGTGTTTGTCAATTAAAATGAGTTTATTTTTGGTCCTAACTCCATCTTTGCTTGTGCCCGGCCTCTCTTCTTTTTTTCTCTTTCCCCTTTTTTCTCTTTCTCGTTCCCATCTTCTCTCATTTTTTCCTGGGTTCTTTAGCGGCGCCCGATCGCTTGTATTAGCAGCAGCTGTCACTGCCGTTGCCGGTCCCGAGATCCGCTGTGCCCGGTGCGGCCGGGACTGGCACGGCTCTGTGAAAGTGAGTCCAGTACACGCTCTCCCTCTGATCTCCTCTCCGTCCCCGAATGCAGGAAGTGATGTATATTACATCACTTCCTACATTCTGCTGTCACTCTCCGGCTGGTGAAGCAGATCTCTGGCTTCCTCCGCTTCTCTGGGGGTCCCTAGGTGACATTAGGGGTCCTGGAGACCCCTGATGTCTACATAAAGAGGACCTGTCATGTAAACTGGCTATCACATAGGGGTGCTTCTTAGCCCCCCCATGTGATGGCAATAAAGTTAAGTGTAAAAACAAAAGCATTAAAAGAAAAACAGCATTTAAAAAAAAAAATTTTTACAGTCCCCATCCCCCACATACACACGCAAACATGCGTCGGGTGCACCTACATGCGAAAACGATGATTCCGCCTATTGTACCGCACATGTTACATATCGCCGCGAACGTCGCAGTGAGAGCAATAATTTTAGGGCCATCAATCACTGACAACACTAAATTAATGAGCGTTTAAAGTGTCGCCTATGCCCAATTTTCGGTGTTGCCGTTTTTTTGGTGATTTCACAGGAGCGCAATTTGAATGCTTGACATGTTTGGTGTCTATTTACCCGACGTGACCCCGTCTCTTCTGTTTTACCAAAAATGTTGGCAAGAATAAATGTTTTTTCAACACAACGTAGGGAAAACATTTTTTTGTGTGAAATTTTCAGAACTTTTTTCATTATATAGTAAAAAATAAACCCCCCCCCTCCTCCTCCCCCCCCCAGTGGTGATTATATACCTCCAAAAGAAAGCTCTATCTGTCCCCAAAAAATGTTAACATAAATTGCAAGGCCGATAGTCCGGTCATGCTGGCTGGTGACATTTTTGACTGACTGAAAAAAAGTTTTTCAAGCCCTGTGTGTGTGTGTGTGTGTGTGTGTGTGTGTGTGTGTGTGTGTGTGTGTGTGTGTGTGTGTGT